TGTTCAAAATTGTTTTGAGTATTTGGGACATTATGTACTTCCACACAAGTTTTAAGATTGTTTTTCCCATGTCTGTGATAAATGCCATTGGAATTTTAATAGGAAATGCATTATATTTGTAGATTGCTTTGGGTAGTATGGTCTTTTAAATAACAAATTCTTTCAATTCATAAATAATTTCTTTCAATTTTAGCTTTATCAGTGTTTTGAACCCTTTTTTTTCTGTTGGAGAATGATGGTAAAACGCCTATTCCACCATTTTGTTGCCATCATTTCCTTTTTATTTCTTCACGTGGCTTTGAGTTCTTGTCTACTGCCATTTCATTTCATCATGAGTAACTTTTTTAGCATCTATTATAGGTAAGTTTAGTAGCAACTGAGCCAAACTGATCAGGCTGGACTGTACCATTTCTTTCTTTTTAAAAAAATATATTTTATTGATTTTTTACAGAGAGGAAGGGAGAGGGATAGTTAGAAACATCGATGAGAGAGAAATGTCAATCAGCTGCCTCCTGCACACTCGCCACTGGGGATGTGCCCGCAACCAAGGTACATGCCCTTGACTGGAATCGAACCTGGGACCCTTCAGTCTGCAGGCCGATGCTCTATCCATTGAGCCAAACCGGTTAGGGCTGGACTGTACCATTTCAATTAACCTAGCTTCAAGTTCACTGGTTTTTTATTTTGCCTGTCCTACTCTTGAATCCCTTTAGTGAAATTTTCATTTCTATGGTGTTGTCCAACATCAGAATTTGTATGACTCAGTTATTTATTAATATTATTTATTTGCAGAGACATTGTCCATGTTTTTCCTTTAGTTCTTTGTCTATGGTTTCCTTTAGCTCTTTGAGTTCATTAAGTTACGGTGTTGATTTAGCAAGTCCACTGTCTGCTTCCTCAAGAAGAGTTTCTCTTCATTTCTTTCTTTCCTGTGAATGGACAATGCTTTCTTGTTTGAATTCCTCTTTGTATGTTGCCCCCTTTTCTTTGTAAACTGGCCATTCTGAATATCGTGGCAGCTCTGGAAATTGGATTCTGCTCCCTTCCAGAGTTAGCTTTTGTTGCTTGTTGTGGGTTGTGGCTGTTGAGTGACTTTCCTAAACTGCTTGTATAAACTATAGTCATGTGTGATCTATAAAGCTTCCAATTCCACACTGTTGGGTTAGTGGTCACCTCGTGGTTTGACAGAGCTTTCCTGAAAAGCCTGGAGACAGAAAGAAACAAGGAAAACAAAAGAAAATATTCTCCTAATCTTTGTAGATTGGCTCTGTGGGGGGCACCCCTTCAACACTTATCCATGGTGTTTACAAGACTGCTTTAGCCTTCACTTCTGCTTGGACTGGGGGTACAGATCAGCAAGGGGTAAAAGCTTAGGGTCTTCTCTAGTCTTTTCTGAGCATGCCTCCTGTCCTGGATATGGGCATGTCCTTCTAGATTCCTCTTAGACTATGTGGGCGCTTTCTAAAGCCCTTATTGCCCAAAGCATTTCCCTCCCCAGCTTTCCCTCCCTGACCTTAGCTGCCTGTTTGTCCCAACTGTTATCTTTTGCCCCAGGCAGCAGCATGTTCAGTTACCGTTAATGTTTTAGGCAAATACTCTCTCTGCACAGCTACTTTTCCATCTTCCTGAGTTAGGTGAAATAAAGGCAAGCCCCTTGCATCAGAACTACTGGGAATCTCTCAACAGGCCACAACAAATACCATCCATGGGAAGAAGGTCCATTCTGTTCCCTGTAGAATTAGACACCCATGCTAGTAATACAGGCTGCCATTTTTCAAGACCACCGCTGACCATGGAGGAGGTGATGAAAATAATAAAAATGCCATTAAGCTATACTACTGGGTTTCAGTCATCTTTTTATTGCTAAGTATTCACTATGTTGCTGTATACATCTTGCACTATTTTTTTGACTTTCAACAAAATTGATTCTGACTGTTTTTGCTAGTCCCCCCCCCCAGTGTTTTATATGGAGGGGGTTGGTCCCCAGAGTTCCTCATTCTACCATTTTCATTGACACATATGCATAATATTTTTTTATTTTTACAATATATTTTTATTGATTTCAGAGAAGGAGAGGGAGAGATAGAAACATCAATGATGAGAATCATTGAGCGGCTGCCACCTGCACACTCCCCACTGGGGATGGAGCCCACAACCCAGGCATGTGCCCTTGACCGGAATCAAACCTGGGACCCTTCAGTCCGCAGGCTGACGCTCTATCCACTGAGCAAAACCGGCTAAAGCCATATGCATAATTTTTAATGTAAGTAAATACATACACCAACATTTAGGTGAAAGTGACATTTTCTTATTACAGTCTAAAACTGTGATGTTTTATTAGCTGTAAATAAGGACTCTATAGTTACATGATATAAACATTTGTATATATTTCAGGCATTTAAGATTAACAAAAGGAATATGCAAAATTCACGTTAGGTGCTCGTGAATTAAATAAGAGAATTTAGGGGCTAATATGCACATATTTGTATTGTTTAAGTGTAACTAGCTACTATGCTGACCCTTTCCTACTACTAGAAAAACACATTATTAGCTATGTTATTGGTCTGACCCAATAAAGCTTCTTGCTGGAAGATGAAAAACATCTCGTTTTCATATTTTAAACGTAATGAGCTCTGTGGACTCTGAGGAACATTAAACCTCAAAGAGTTCATTGAAATGTTTTGTCCCTAGATGCTCTAGCTAATGTGTTTGCCCCTATCACGACGTTAAAACACAATGTTTAATGTCACTGACCTCAAGACAATATGTCATGCCTTACTTAGAATAACCATTCCCTTCATGTACCCTTAGGATGGTTCTCATGATAGCAAGAAAGGAAATACTTGTCAATATCTGTAGTTACAAAATCTAATCTCCCCAAATCACCATGCTTGCTGACATGGAATATTACTTTATATGCAAAAGAAAATTACAGTAAACACACAACAGTATTGGGCTTACTCATGTGAATACCTAATGCAAGGAACAGTGTGCTGAGAAAAATGCAACACGTTATTGATCATATGTTATTATAAAATGAAACTCTCTTTGATGGAATTTTATATTAGGATTTTTCTCTAAAACTTAGTAGAAGAGAAAATTTTTAACCCTATCTGGCGATTGTTAAACATATTTTTAAGGGAATCTTTAATACAGTGCATCTGGTTGAAAAGTGCCTTTAGAGGATATAACTTACCACACACAAATTAATTTTTCAATTTAAATTGTTTGGCAAAGGTAATTATATCATATATCATGGATGTGACTTTGCACATTACATTCTGAAAGCAAACTACATTTGAGCCAATATGTTTTTGGAATTTTTGCCCGTAGAACTTAACAATAATGACTAATCTCGAGGCAGTCTATTTCCCTCTAGAATCACTTCCCTCAAGGAACTATTGCCTATGGAGAATCAATAGCTTTTGAAATGATAGAATTCTGAAAACAAACAAAGAAAAACCCCACTGTTTTTATAGTGGCAGGTATTTAATGTTCAGAGGAAATTATATAATTTAGGCTGGAAAACTTTTGCTAATATGGGGCAGGGAGGTTCTTTTCACCTGGATCACAGTATCTGAGAACTGACTTTGCTCATGATTACACACTACTAAGTTTTATAGAGAGAATAAATATGTATTAATATCATATAGTCTATTGCACACTAACTGGAAGAATTTAGAGCTTTAAAAGGACAAATACACGTAATTATACTTAATAAATAAGTGTTCATAAAATTTGGCAAGCTCCAACTATACGTCTGTTCTGCATGAACTTTAGAACGTGAAAATGCTTGAGATTCACAGGTCAAGTGCTACCTAGTGATAGGCATTAAACCAATGATTGTGTTCCCTTATTGCCCTTCCATAAATGCTGTCCAATACTAAATTTATCAATATTTGAACAGGAACTAGGGGAATTAATATGGTTTTTAATAATAGATTTGGTGATAAGTTTAACATAGTTCTGAATTACATAACTTTTCACTATTGAATATCATCATGTTTTGAAAAGAGAGGTTTCATACTGCTAGCACAGATATTGCCCCCGGATTGAACTTACTATGCTCCGGTATGCTTTTATATTTTCCATTCTTTATTGAATTTCATACGTACAAAATAAGTAAATTCTGTGGATGTACACTGGTTCCTGTTTGAGAATATAGCTAACAAAGTTGTTCGTGGTCTATTATTTGGATCTCAATGAAAATTAGATAACAAAGCCTAATGAGGAAAAACAAAAAGTTTACTGGACTGTTTCTAATTCCTTCTTTGGGTAGCACCACAGAAGTAAAAATTCAGGTTTGAGGTTTAAAAGTCTAGCTACAAGCTCTGTTTTTTATTCTTTTTGGCTTTCAGCTTGTAATACTTCTATAAGTCAGACAAAATTTTCATTTCCTGTCTAATTTACAGAATTGCTGTGAAGGAAAAAACTCCATAACATATGAGAAGGTGCTGTATAAACAATCAGAAACAGGATATGCAAACATAATATTTGGTTTTCAAAACAGCTTCCCTGAGTCACTCACTCATATCAGGGTAATTCAGGGAATGAGGTTTTGATGGCAACGCGGGGGAAATAAGGGTGAGTTCTGTGGTTCTAAGTCTGGATTCCTAGATGACACCTCTGAAGTTGGAGAGGAACGAATTCTTAGTTCGGGTGCTGCTTCCATTGCCGATGCCTTTGAGGCATGTTGCTTTAGTCACGTTTGCTTTAGATTTATAAATGGAAAGAACCTATCTTTCCCAGGTTAGGCATCCAAGTTGTAGGTACTAGTCACCCAGCTCCCTGTCCTGCACACCTTCCTCTAGTTAGGACTAATTAGAACAAAACACTATATAACCATATCCTTTAACTTGAAACTGCAATAAATATAATTTTTCAGAACATGACATTTTCATGCATATATCTTATCTCTGTACAGCCCTAGGAATTCATTAACACACACTTCTTAGTTTTCCCTTAGCAACGCTGTGGTTTTCCTTACTAATAAGCGAACATTTAAGCATGAATTGACACATTGTCATTTATTTCAGTCCTGGAGCACACACGGAATATGATGATATGCTTGAAAAACACGTCAGTGTTTACTTTGTTCTTTCCAGTGCTAATATTAAATTTAACCACACATTTCTATAAATTAAATTCACTGGGAAACCTCACATTTATAAAATTACACAAGAATAAGCTACATTATCACAATCAACATGGAAATGTACTGAAGAATTCAAAGTAGAGTGTCAGGATCACTTCATCTTCATGGTAAACTTTCACTTTATGGAAATCCCACTTGGCTTCATTTAATTAAAAAGCTGAAAAAGAAAAATTATGATGAGTGGAAGTAAGAAAAACACAATAGCTGTTTATCCCATTCTAAATTAGTACATATTAAACATAACAAAAAATGTCATCATTACATTAATTCATCTCATTTTAATAGTTATATGAGGGTAATTGTGCTGAATTAGTTCCTGTAATGGGGTCAGGCTGGGATTCAATGCAGGTCAGTGGTGGGCGAAGATGCTGATAAGAACTTAAACTTGTGTGGTGAAGTTTGGGTAAAACACACTATTTCTGTGGGCCACTCTCATTGTTGGCTAGACCAATAGTTAATCACTTAAACTGGTAATACAGGGGAAATAAAGGAATGGACTGAAATAAACATTTAAAGTGGGTAATTTCAATGTCCTAAATATTTTTATCATTCAGTTTACAATTCATTTACTTACATAATATAAACAATTGATTATTTTTATGAAATGTATAACTTCATTATATTGAACCAGAAAGAATGTATAATAAAAGCATCATCAGACTCTAATGAAACAGTACAATTAACTCTAAGTCCCAATGTTAGTAAAGAGAGGTTCTTAGATCCAACCTCTCTTTTGTATATTAACTAATATACAAAATTATATATTGAACTTGAGCTGAGATCTTCTGGTTCTAAATATTATTTCCTATGAGTCTTAAAAACAGGAAGCAACGTGATAGAATTAGGAGGATGATTCATGTTATTTTCCTACTTGAGACTTGATATGTCATAAATATTTTTACAGAAATATTTTGAAGAAAACTTCACCGTGAGTGAAAACGGCAGTGGAAAATATTGAGAAAGTAACTACCCATAAGTGAACACTATCATGTATTGCTATTAGCATTTTGCTCTTATTAGTAAATAGGACAAACCCTTAAGTTAATCTTTACTTAATATCCAAAATAAATTCAGTGCTACCACTGCAATAAAATTTCTTTTTTTGAATTATGGCTCATATGGTAATTAGATCAAATTCTTAAGATTGATGTTTCGCTGGTAGTTTCAAGAGACTCAGGAGTCCAATTAAATTCATCAAAAGGTTCAGGGAAAATCTGTACTCCACTCAACTCAATCATGCAAACAAGTTACTTAATCTTCACTATAAAGAAAAATCCTGGTTAGAAAAAGGTAGATTAGATATAAATGAGTTTAAAATATTTGCATCAGAATTAATTATGATAATAATTAGCTTCAAACATTTATTGAGTAATTAATAATATGTGCCACTGAGTAATTAATAAATAATGGCAATGTGTCATTGCTCTTACATGCATTCTCTCATGCAATCCTTACACTAAGCAAAAGAAATATGTAAAATTTTTACATTTACAAACGAGAAACCAAGGTTTAAGTTAAGTAACTTGTCAAAGGACACAGCTAGTAAAAGCAGATCAGGGATTTAAATCAGGAAGTTTAAAAACTTAAAAGACAATCTGGGAGAACTGAGTGATGGTATGAAACATTATTACTGTAGGAAAAAAACCCTGAAGACTAAAAATGTGGGGAAGATTTATGAACATAGGATAAATTTACAGTAGACTTTTATCCTCTTCAGCATATAGACTGACAAAAAAAATAGCAGTATGAAGTACTGAGAAAATATGAATGGTATAAATGTTTAAGGTTTTGTGAGGTTTAAGAGAAAATAAAAATGAAGTAAAAAGATCACTCTATATAGAAGAAACTAAAGATTGTAGATTTAACAGAATCCAAAATTGTGAGGAAAGTGAAAAATTAGTTTACAAATAATGACGGTCGTGGTTCTGTGAATTCGGTATTTCTTGGCACAGGAGATGCCAGGGCTTGGAGAAGCGGCTGCAGTGCCAGGATCTGCCTCCACTTCCCCAGCTTCTCTGCTAGGCTCTGATTCTGTTTCTCGGCAGCTCCTCCTTAGGGTTTTCATCTGATTCAGGTCCACTCCTGGGCATGACTTCCATCTCCGACTTCTCACAGGAGATGTCATTTCCATGTCCAGCCCCAGGAGGCCCGCTGAGGGCAGGCCTGTCCCTTGTTTAACCTGGTGGGGCCTTGACAAGGGAGTGGGACTGGTCACATAGTCAGGAGGCTCAATGCCACACTCATGTAGACATCACATTAGCAAGCACGGGCTGCGGGTCAGAAATGCTCACTGTGTACCTAGGGGGAGGCCTGGAATATGTATTTGAAAACTTCCTGAGGATTTATATGTCCTCTCCTGGTGAAGATCTAGAAGACTGGAGAGAATTCTGTTAAATGACACCTACCCGTGGGAAAAAGTACCGACTTGAAAAAAATTCTTCACCGCCTAACAAAATCAGTGCCGTCAAATGTAATACTATGCAATGAAACTAGTAAAAACTTAATTTTCTCTATTTTCCCTACACATTACTCTGCTACGTCAGAGAACCGTGTAGATGGGGCATAAGTAGGTACCTGGTACACAAGGAAAGCTAGAATTTGCTCCTCACCTTCCCCATTTCCTGACTGTCAACTAAATAGGGTTTAAAGACTCTCCTAACACCACCTCTTTCTGTCTTTTACCTTTAATAAAAAGAGACGCCTTTTCTTTGGCATATTTTAAGTGCTGCAGATTGAAATGAGTTAATTTTTTTCAGTGTTTTTGGCATCTTAGATAAAAAACACTTAAAGGGAATACAAATACTCATTTACAAACTAAGACTCAAATCATACAGAGCCATGATTCTCAATCCTAGGGTAGGGGAAAGAGAAAAATGTAGCTTTCTCTTTCTTAGACATACTTAACTTTAGATTTGATTAGCCTGATCACTTCACATTTTCAAAACCAAAATTGGCTGGCTAAATAATGTTAAGAACAAAATGAAGAAACTGGAGACTTTACTTGCCCTTTTTATTACTCTAGTTGCCCTGGGAGCTAATGTGTCTGATAACTCATTCACACTGCAGTCAGGATTTAAGGCAGATGATCCCACAGCTCAGACATGTTACATTTCTCCACTCCTTGAGTACATTTATCTTTACTGTGTGGGAAGAAGAGAGCTGAATCGAGCCTCTGCCAGGTGGGGTTGAAGAGGCTTACTCCTCCACTAAAGCACCACAGGCAGATCTCCCCGTTACGGGGTTAGTTTTGTCCCCCAGGTAAAGCCGTGTACTGTTGCCATCATCCGCATAAACCATCTTAAGATAACTGCACAGTTCACTGTGGAAGAGATGTAAGGTCTGAAGAGATTTTACTTTCTATCAATGTATCACTAGTTGCACTAACTCAGCAGTTTTAACTGCAAAAGGAAATATAGGCTCTTTACTCCGTAATTAAGAGAAGGATGGATTAAGCTATTAGAAGGACTCTGTAGAGAAAGTAAAACATTTATTCTCTAAAAGAAGCTGAAGAAGGAATATGCTCAAGAAGTAAATTTGTGCCTAGTTCATGAAATGACCAAGTATAATCTTGCTCACCAATTGTATTAGGTTCTAGTAAAAGTCTAAAGTTTGGTTATAATGAGGTGATATGAGAATTAATTTTCAACAACTTCCTACCTCCAATCATGACAATATGTTGGTGGAAATTGTTTGAGATATTCATTATGACAACTCTAGTCACCAGAGATTATTTTATCATTTAATTTTCCTTTTAAGTTGGCTTTTCTTATTTGAAAAAGCTAAAACTTTGCAGAATTCAAAAGATGATGCAAAGTTTAGTAAAAACTTAACAGTAGATTATATGAGAAAAAAACTGAAAATGCAGTCAAAGCCATGGTAGATAGATAATCTAAAAGAAAAAGAAATTTTGATGAATTCAACAAAGGTTAAAACCCATTTTGTTATATGGATATGCACGTGTGTGTGTGTGCGCATATATATATATATATATATATATATATATATATATGTAGTAATTACTAAATGAATCACTGCAGCCCATCCCAGATAACATACTTGTAAGAAGCAAATGCTATGACCTGCAGGGATCAGGCCCCAGCTTGCAGCCCCAGCTTGTGCCCCCCAGCCCCATAGCCCCACCTGGCACTCCGCCTTGGCCTGGCACCGCCCCTCACCTGCTCCACCATCCGCCTGTGGGACCATTGGTCAGGGCCAGGCCACCCCCCCACTGCTGGTTGCCGTCTGCAGGGTGATCAGTGGGGCGATCAGGCCCCGCTCACACCCAGCATGGCCTGGTGCCGCCTGCTCACCTGCTCACCTGCTCCACTATCCTGCCGTGGTCCTGCTCTCATTGGGGCCCATCAGGGCCAGCAGCGCCTTCACTGCTGCCCACTGCCAGTGCCACATTGCCGACACTCACCATGTTCTGTGCCACCCTCTGGTGGTCAGCGCATGTCATAGCGAGCGGTCGAACTCTCGGTTGAATGACCGCCCAAGGGGACAATCTGCATATTAGGCTTTTATTATATAGGAGATATATATATATATATATATATATATATAATAAATTATACTCTGATTGGGAGCAGGGACCATGTCTTCTATCTCCTTTGTATAATCTATGCTGAACACATACATAGCAGGTGCTCACACTTGCTTAACTGAGTTTAAAATCTCTGGGAAAATGAGCTAGTTATTTACATCAACCCTTGAATATAAATTAACCATTGAAATTCTGTTTATTCTATTAGTTAAGAATGAAAACAGTCACGTTAGTATAATGATATTACCTGTAAGGATAGCCGTGGTACTTGGAACGAAATATCGAAAGAAGGAAGCTGAAGAAGAAGACCACCAGGCCCAATCCCACCAGGCAAATGACTAGAGAGACAGAAAATACCATTAATGTCTAGACACATGCAACCCAAGTGTCTACACTTAAAAATGCATTCAGTAATTACAGTGTACTTATATTAATAATTCATGGCACATACAGATACAACAAATCAGATAATCCAAAATACAATGGATTCACTATTTTACACATTCTTCCCAATGAGCGGGTATGTTTTGGGTATGAAAATAACCAAAGTGACTGATTTAAGTCTTCTGATAGTTTTCCTCTCTTACAGAGTTCCTACAAGTACTAAAATGCCCCAGGGGATAAAAACAAAAAAAATATGTGATAAACCACAGATGAAACTATCCCTGTATTATGAAGCATTAGCTCTATTAGCAGAGACATCTGCATTATTGGAATGCTAAATATAATTTTATTCTCAGGGCCATGCAGTATTTATGAAAATAATTTTAGATTATTGCATCAGTAAAAGCCTGTTACTTACAAATAATTCATTATGATGTATAGAAAGCTAAGAATAAAAGCTTGGAGAGTAAAAGGGAGTATATATGGTATAGTATTCTCAAAATAATGGCCTAGAAATCTGTTAGTCAGTTCTCATTCAACTTTGTAGGAATATCATTCTCTCTAATTTGAGTACAAATTAAGTCATAAGCGCTTAATAGCATTCAATTGTAGTCTCTGTGACATTTCATTTCAGACAAGGCCATATAGGTGAACTTCAAAGGAAGAAAAAAAAGGTACTCAATATCACAAAATGAAAAACACTTTAAAAAATATTGTAGAATATCCAAGTATGCTGGACACCAGGCACTAGATAGAGCATGTAACAACATAGCTTACAACAGCCTTACTAAACCCAGACTTAACTGCATGATGTTTTACTTTATATCTTCCTACATTTAGTACTTTTATCAAACACTTCTTTTCCTTTTTATTTTTTATTTTAAAAAGCTTTTCAGAAGCTGAATAAAACTTTTCACTCCCTTTGTCACTCTTAGTAGCCTCATTTGGTTATTATGCTCAGTGGGAAATGAGGCTCAAAATATATGAACACATAAAAATATTTACTTGATTTCTTGCAGTGGAATAAAATAATGCAACCAAATATTTGTATATGGATAAGGGAAAGGAATTAAATGGTTGGTGAGGAGTTAGTAATTACTAAATGAATCACTGTAGCCCATCCCAGATAACATACTTGTAAGAAGCAAATGCTATGACACAGAAACACTCTGACCTGGTCAATGATAATCACAGTTGTTGTATTATATCAATTCTACCAGAATAAGGAAATAATTTAAAACTATAATCTCTCTCTCTCTCTCTCTCTCTCTCTCACACACACACACACACACACACACACACACAAATAATTTGGCAGTGGGGGTTGGAGAAATATATATAATCGACCAAGAGAAAAGTTGGAAGTAATGATTTCATAGACATTGTGATTAAAATATTAATACACACTTATTACTATTATTTAACCTGATATGATAGGACATATGGTAATATATCATCACATAAGAATTTGCCTCATGTTATTTATCAATCCAAAGAGCATCACATTGTTTATTCAAAAGATATATCATGAAGTGATATATCTGAACAATGCTTAGCTAAACAAAGTAACATGTTTATTTCTTCTATATTTCCTCAAATTGGTGTGTAGAGAACATCATGGGAAAAGATAAACTAAACTGTATATTTCACCCAATACATTTCAACACTTATGATACCTAAGTGTTCAGAAATCACTATGATGTACTAACAATCATATTATCTAGCTATTATCCCATAAAGAAAATAAGTCTTTTATTTTAAATAAATTATTCATCTTTAAACTTCTTAATAAAATGTTAGCCTTTTTCAGGCACCTGTGCTCCTCATACATAAATTCTGGGTTTTAAAAAGGGCTCAGAAATGCACACCTGATTCCCATGGCATAGAGGACCTACCATTTGACAATACACCTCTCAGGCTCCCCCCAGCATCCCCACCTCTCCCTGCAGGATGCATGGTACTCCAGGACTAGATCCTCCATGGAGCTGGGCAGAGCACCCCTGACGAGGGTGGAGAGAATTTCTTTCTCTGCAGTTCCACAGAAAGTTACCCAAACCCATTCGGAAGGGATATATTTTTAATTATTTGTGTACATCTAAGAATAGAAGAGTAAAAAACATTGCAACGTTCCTCAACCAGAACATTTCTTTATGTTTACAAAGAACTTTTATATTCCTCATTTGATTTAAATGAATCTTAAGTCTAAAACAAAATTACAAAAAAAAAACAGAGAATTACTTCGTCTTTTTCCAACATCTCCTTTGGATGTTGCCGCTTCATTTAGAAGAACCATCCCCATGGTGATAGCAGCATCTATAGTAATTGTCAAGGAAACAGTAGCAATGGATGCAAATAAAACATATTTTTTTGGATCTGAACACAATGTTTTCGGTAGTGGAATACTTAAATTACAAATGCACACAGAGGTAAATACAATTTATTCTATGCAGATAAAATAAAATTATCATTCTTTGTGTATTTAAATCTACCTTGATCTTTAAAAAAATATTAATTTCAGAGAAGAAGGGAGAGGGAGAGATAGAAACATCAATGGGAGGGAATCATTGATTGGCTGCCCCTGCATGCCCCCTATTGGGGATCGAGCCTGCATTTACCCTTGACTGGAATCGAACCCGGGACCCTTCAGTCTGTAGGCTGACACTCTACCCACTGAGCCAAACCAGCTAGGGCTAACTTGATTTTTAAAATATATAACCTAAAACCTTGTGAGATTTTGCAAGTAATTGAAATGCTCTTAAATTCCAGGACCTTCACAGCACGTATGCTTTATGTGGACTCTCAAAACCAATAATGACATTTCACATTATACATAGATAATATAGAATCACAATGATACATTACATTGGCAGTCATAGAAGATTAAAATATATTCAGCATAAAACCGACCAAGTTTGGTCAGAAGTCTAAAGTAACAAGAGAAAAAGCCGCTATCAGCCCTGTGCAATAGCATCACTCTCTCACCCTCACCCCGGCCTCCCCACCCAATACATGTATACACATCACATACTACCATTAAACTTTTAGGGGTCCATTATACACAGTTTGAAAACCAACGAAATTTAGATAATTACTAAATTCCTTGGGTTTCAATCATGTAGTGATGGCCTGAAAGAATCGTGTAAGAGAATGACTGTTTCATGCTACCAGTATGATAAATCTGTGGATTTTAAGGGTTCATTATTCTTAAGGTGTTTTGGACAGTCTACTGATGTAAATTCCCTTGAGTCCATAGTCATAGGGCATTGCTAGTAATGAGAGAAAAAATTAAAAGCTTGTATCATTCAACTTGTTCCTATGTGGGTAATTTCTACTGCTTAGTGCTTTGGAGCAGACGGATATGACTATGTAAGTCCTTATTAAGGAGTCAAGTTAGGATTCTCCTTTCATCTTTCTCTGGAAACATCCTTTTTATTCATGTATAAATTTTAATCTACACATATGATTATACATAGTTACTATCACACATATTTGCAAATATATGAAATGTTTTAAAATGACCTAATGTAGGTATTATAAATAAAATACTCATTTTATGATTTCATCTGCTAAGTAGTTGCTGAAATTTCATTAATAAAATCATGGGGGAAGTGGCATGATTTCTATTCCTGGGGAAAATATGATTTACAAAATTAAATGGATCAAAGACTTAACCATAGATCTGATACTATAAAACTGCTAGAAGAAAACACAGGGAAGAAGCAACTGTATGCAGGCAACTGGGCTGAACACCATACAGGGATTCCTCTCATTAAGCCCCTTAACAATGCTGTGAGGTGGGTACTGTTTTAATTCTTGTTTGTACATTGTGATAACGCAACTTACAGAGAGGTCTAATAACTAGAACAAGGTGTTAATAGTGCTGGAGCCAGAATTCAAGGCAGCTATCTGAGCACAAAGCCCATTTGCTCTTTTCTTTTTTTTTTTTTTACAGGTTTGAATGTTTTTATGTTAGCACAAATTTAGTTTAAAACACACACACACACACAAATATATTACTCACAGATTCAGGAAGCTTAGCAAGCCCAAAGTAAGATAAATTCAAAGAAGCCCCATCTAGGCACACCACAGCCAAAGATAAAGATTTAATATTGATAATATTGAAAGCAGCAGAAAAATAAAAAGTATTACATATAGAGAAAGTGTTATGTTTTGGCCAACTTCTCATCCAAATCAATGGAAACAACAACACAAAAGAAATTATATATTTAAAGTGCTAAAAAAATTGTGAACCCAGAATTCAACGTCTAATATATTCTTCCAAATGAGGGTGAAATAAAGCCATTTTAATATAAACAAAAGCTGAGAGAATATCTCAGCTACAACAATGCTTAAGAAGGTTTTTATGTCTGAGGAAATTATACCAGATAGGACCACAGATCTATAGAAAAAAATGAAAAGCATCAAGGTAAATTTAAAATATATAATTTTTCTCTCGCCTCTTAGTATTTTTTAAAGGTAGCTATTTAAAGCGAAAACAACATTGCATTGTTGAATTTATAACTTATCTATATACTAGAGGCCCAGTGCACGATTTAGTGCACAGGTGGGGTCCCTCGGCCTGGCCGGCCAGGAGGGATGTGATGGGGGATGGGGGACCATGGGAGGTTGGCTGTGGGACTGCACTGACCATCGGGAGGCAGCTCCTGCATCGAGAATCTGCGCCCTGGTGGTCAGTGCGCGTCATAGTGGCTGGTTGTTCGGTCGACTGGTTGAACGTTTGCTTAGGGTTTTATGACCTGACAACCAGCCAGTAGCTATGATGTGCACGGACCACCAGGGGGGCAGACGCTTGATGCAGAAGCTGCCTTCTGGTGGTCAGTGTGCTCCCACAGCCAAATCCCATGGCCGGCCAACCTTCCATGGTCCCTCCCCCTGGCCAGCCCCAATTGCTGGGAAGGCTGAGGGACCCCATCCATGCATGAATCCATGCACCGGGCCTCTAGTATTATATATTACATTTATTGATTTTCATATGTTGAGCCATGCTTGCATCCCAGGGACAAATCTTACTTGGTGGATGGTGTACAATCCTATGTATGTGTTCTTGAATTTGGTTTGCTAATATTTTGTTGAGAACTTTTGCATCTATATCCATCAGGGATACTGGCCTACTAGTATAATTTTCTTGTGGTACCCTATATGGCTTTGGTAGCAGGGTAATGCTGGCTTCCTAGAATGAGTTTGGAAGTGTTCCTTACTCCTCAGTTTTAGAAGAATTTAAGAAAGATTGGTGTTAATTCTTCTTTAAAAGTTTGGTAGAATTCTCCAGTGAAGTTATCTGGTCCTGGAAATCTGTGTTGGGAGATTTTTTATTACAGATTCGGTATCTTTACTCATTATTGGTCTGTTCAGATTTTTCTATCTCTTCCTGATTTGGTCTTGGTAAGGTGTGTGTTTCTAGCAATGTATCCACTTCTAGGTTATATGGCATATAATTGTTCCTAGATTGTCTTCTAATCCTCCTTATATCTGCAGTATCAGTTGATCTTCTAGGGTTTTTTTTGTTAGTCTAGCTAAAGGTTTGGCAATTTTATCTTCTCAAAGAACTTGTTCTTAGTTTCCTTGATCTTTTTTTAATTGTTTTCCTGGTTTATATTTTATTTATTCCTGCTCTGATCTCTATGAATCCCTTCTGAAAGGAAAGTTCATACTCATAAATGCGTATGTAAGAAAATGCAAAACTTCGTAAACCTTTGTACATATAACCCTAAAATTGGAATTTTAAAGCAAAGAGGTGCCTAGATACAGGCTGTGTATAACCCCCAAGTAAAATATCTTATTAGAAAGAAATAGGGTCAGGAAATAAGTATCATCTCATCCTCAGAATGTTTCCTGCAAAAGTACTGAGAAATGAGCTGTGAACCTACTTTAAACTTGATGGTTAAAATTAAGATATAAGAATTAAACTAAAATGGTTTTAAACTCACCAACCCTCCCTCTTTTATTTAAAAATATTTTTAAATGTAAGATCTTTGATTATTGAGAATTAATTGGGCTTAAGTTCCATAGTATCCAAGGAAACAAAAGTTTTGGATTAAGAAAAAGAGTCTACATAATACTTGTCATTTGAGAAAAATAATTCACATTTGTAACGAACATTTGTACACGAAGGATTAATTTTTAAACAGAGGAAGAAGCTAGATGTTCATCTGTCAGAGTTGATATGTAGAGCTTCCTTCATTGGGTGGGAGGTTGAATAATTAAGGAAACCCCCTAGATATTGGGGAGATTCTATGTCTAACTCTGGGATAACAGATGCTTTTCTGCCTTTAAAATTATGGCTGGAGCCATTTTGGCACAACATTAAAAGAGTATATGAGATGTAAGTATATAGTGGATAAGCTATAATGTTTCTGAGACTTGTTCTATTGTTCTGAGATAGTTAATGCACACACACACACACACACACACACACACACACGGTCTAGTTCATGTATTATTTTGCACATTTGTATTAACATTGTAGCAATATATACTAGTACTTCAACTACTTGCAGACTCCACAGTTTCTTTGCTGAGCCTGCCAATCATCATCTTATTGCTTAAAAAGTCAAAACACTGACATCCCACATACACTAGAAGCTGCTATTTGTGTAAATTATATATAATAACCAAAGGCACTGGGCATCCTACTGAACTAATAACAAATGCATTTGTATTGCATTATAATTCATTCTCAATTGCACATGATGTTAGGTTCACTGTTGCTCCAGGAAGAGAGTCACGATTGCCAATTTAAAGATGAATGAGAACAGAAGTTGAAAAATATATGAGCACATTACAGAAGACTTAAAGGGATCTAAATCTAAAATTATCTTCAACTTGCATCCATCATTAATTTTCTCCTATAATGTTTTTTTCTTCGATATAACACATTAAAATAAACATTTTTCTCTATCACAGATTGAAAATAAATGCAGAATCAAACTTTCATGATAAATGAAAAACAAATGTTTTCTCAAATGAAAAGCAAATGTGATCTTTATAAGAATATATATATCGCTAGTATAGCCTTTGCCTTTTATATTAGCACTTTTACTTCCAACTGATATTTATCTATGCCATCTTCTTTAGATCTCAGAACTTAAAGGACATGGGGAATCATGGGACAGGTCAGAGTTTGTATAGTTGGCAGTAAAGCCAATACAATACCTCGTGTGTCCTGTACCCACTGGCACACATAGACTGTAGCTTGGTGAATGCAGATAAGGTTCAGGTTTCTTAGCAAGGCATGTGTACATTGTCATTACCCAGCCAAATCTCACTTCCTCTCCGTCAGGGAAACTTGTTTGGCTACTGTAGCAAAATGAACCCAACAGTCGGTTGAACTACCTGGCCTCACTTACTCTCGGACAGGGAAACTTCTTTGGCTACTGTAGCAAAATGGACCCAACAGTCGGTTGAACTACCTGGGAATCCAGGTGCTCTCTGCTTTCTTGCTGCGTCCGAGCACTGGTTTTAGCACTGGCCACACAGCAGGATAATTCTTTTCCTATCTGTCTACTTTCTTGTAAATAGCAAATATCTTATTTGCATCAGGTACTGAAACATAACTGAATGAAAAGTAAATGAAAGAAAGATAAATTTTTACTGGGAAAACATAAAGGATTATATAAATTCTTCTTGGTTCACATATCTGTATTAAAATGCCATAATATTTCTTAAACTTTCTAGATAGTTTTCTCTCGTAGACTACTTAGGATTGTTCCTTTTTCTTCCCTAAATAAGAAACAGAGAAAATAAAACACTACTAATAGGTAGAAAAACATTTGTAGTAAATATAAGTGTATAACCTATGACAACAAACAACTCCATCTGTTCTTCCTTAGGTTTTTTCCAACAAACTTTTGAATACAGCCATTGCATCTAATCACCTGGCTTACTAAATTAAGAGGAGAAAAACAAAAGGCAGAAATGGTCTCTACAGATAAACAAAAAGTAACCATCTGGAATTTACTTTTTTTTCCCATAAGGGAAAAAATACACACATAAATTGCAAGAGAAAAATATATAGTGTTAAAAAATTAGCAGACTGCCAAATAAAAGTAAAATCACAAATTATTACATAATGGCTTCTTAACCTTTACTGATAATTTTAGTGAGTCTACCATTTTAAAAGAAATTTTCTTTTCATAAATATCTATGAAATAAAACAACAAGAAATAAAGCAATAAATAATTACTAGTAACAGAAAGAGAACAGGGACTTCTAGTTTTTTTAGGTATTCCTGTTAGAACTCTATATGGAAGACTTCACACTGCTTATGAAATTTCTTTGCATCCTAAATCTCAGCTTCATGTCAATGAGCCATGAAATGGAACCTTGGAGAATTTCTGCCATATAATGGAACTTTCATTTCTTTTGTGAGGTACTCCTGATGTGTTTAATAGACTAGCTGCTTTGAATAAAGTATGCTGCTAAAATGCTACATCAAGGATTGAAATAGGTTAGAAAAAAATGTGTATAAATCAGAGCTAAAAAGTGACCTGCAACAAGTATTTTTTCTTACTATTATACTTGAACACAAATGTATTTTGCTTCATAAATATACAGTTAAGAGATAAAGTAAGAGTAAATATGGCCTTACCCACATTTTTAGATATGGAGATGTTCCTATAACAGTGATGGCAAACCTTTTGAGCTCGGCGTGTCAGCATTTTGAAAAACCCTTACTTAACTCTGGTGCCGTGTCACATATAGAAATTTTTTGATATTTGCAACCATAGTAAAACAAAGACTTATATTTTTTGATATTTATTTTATATATTTAAATGCCATTTAACAAAGAAAAATCAACCAAAAAAATGAGTTCGCGTGTCACCTCTGACACACGTGTCATAGGTTCACCATCACTGTCCTATAAATATGTTTGCAAATATTTCCTTTTCTCACTAAAAATCCTTCTGATATGCAGAAAGGATTAATATCTTACCATATTAAAGTCGGAACACAGAAACCTGTAGTTACTGATGAAAATCACAAAATTTGAGAATGTTTACTAGAATGTAGGTTATTTCCAAGTCCAATCTAAGAGGCAAAGTACAACACACACAAAAATACTCATCTTAGTCATTTCTTAAATTTGAAGCCATAAAAGATAGGGGTAATTAAATAAATGCAAGCAAGAAACGGGCTACAGATATGCACAATTCCATGTATGCGCCAAGTATGTGTGGTCACGTATGGGAGGAATGAAAGGAGAACTGGTACGAGGAAGAAGAGGGTCAGTGCTGCCCAGTGAGCTTTAGGAAGACACTGGAATATAAAATGGAGTCATAATCTCTCTCCTCCAGCTTCATTTCCAAAGTCAAAACGTCACACGACTCACACAAACCTCAGTGTTCCCCCCAAATACAGTTGTTTGCCTAAAAAGTAACTCCCCACTCAGAGAATATTCAGTTTGTCTTAAATACTTGAACTTCCTTCCTTCCTATCCTGATATCTTCTAGTTGACCCCAAACTGGGCATAATTACCTGATTCAAAACAATGGGTCTGGTATGTTCCAAAAAGAGGTTTCTAACTGTCCTACGTCTCCCTCTTCTGACTGATCATAATATTTAAGGAGACCAGTACTAAAATCATGTTTGTCATCTTGCTTTTTACATTATAGGATGCTTCCCCCCCTGCCCCCACCATTAAGATCCTATGGGAAAAACCATACAAGTTTCACAAATAACCTTTAGCCAGAGATAACCGAGGCAGAGCAAAAGCTCTACTTTAACTTCATTACGCAGTAAAAAAGAGAGAATTAAGTCTGTTAATGATTCAGAATAAAAGCCAAAATAATAGGAAATAATTAGCATAGAAATCAGAAAAGTAGACATAGCCAATTTAAAATATAATGTCTTTTACAAGTCTTGGTATTTATGATCAGGAGAGAATTAATTTGACAGCACATGCTTTTTCTTTCTCAATCATCAGTCCTTTAAAGGATACTCAGCACCAGAATAATGTGGGACTCAGCCACGAACTGGGCCTGGCTGCTTCCATGAATGTAGCTCTAGAAAAACAAGACAAAGAAGCAAATATTACAATCTGAGGAATTAGGGATTTTTTTGTACACTGTAGTTTTATACCATGAAGATAATGGAAAAATCTATTAAATAAGCTCCATTTGGAGTTTTTTAAATGAAATAATTGCTTGTTAACTAGAAATAATAGATGTAAATGTTGGTGGCTGATATTACTGTAAACTGTAGGCAGCAACTTAATATCAATGTGAACTTATATCTTGTTCAAAGGTTTACCACAAACATACACACAATGTAATAGCAAAAGTTATAAATTAGAGCAAGTAAGTTTACCAAGTTTACTGAGTCCATTAAAATAAGTCAACAATAATCCATCAAATATTAAATCACTCTTTTCCACATTAGCAAAATAAGGTAGCTTTATATGTGCACTCATTTCATTAGAACATTTTAATTGATTTTTAAAATATAAATATTAAAACTGTTTTAGCTCACTAAGAAATGTACAGTTTTTCATACTTAGTAAGAACTGTATTAGTTGATATCCAGTAGATTACAGAAAATCTGAAAAAAATCATCTAAGATATTTTGCTTCTAAAAAATCTGACTTCTCCATTATTTCAGCTGTTAATCTCTCATGAAAATTAGTTGCTTGGCAGTTGTTTTAAATAAGAATACTTGTCTAGGTCTTCTGTTCATAAAAAATATTCGAGAAAGAAAACCTCTTACGGCATAAAATTAATAGCCTCAATTTTACATCACATTTGAAGAGTAATTATATCATTCGAGAAGAACCACTTTAGTCCTTTCAAAAATTTCCTTTGTTTTTATTTTGACAACACGTATGGGTGAAAGCATTATGCTTTACTGGAGACAGTATTTCTGGAAGCACGGAACAAAGTGTGGAATCTCAGAGGGAGGGCGGGGAAAAGTGGGTGGGTGGGCGGTAATCAACCAAAGACCATGTATGCATATATGCATAAGCCATGGACACAGACAATAGGGTGCTGAAGGCCTGGGGCGAGGGAGGGCAGGGGCGGCTGGAGAGGATCAATGGGGGACATAGGTAATACTTTCAACAATAAAGAATTATTTTACAAAAGAGAGAAAAAGAAAAAAGTGAATAAAGCAGGATATTTTAGGCTAAAAACAAAAAAGAGTTAGAAATTATTCCTTTTTGGCCTTAACCCTAAACACATCACAAAATGTGTCAGATATTCAATAGCCCCTCATTTATAAAATTAGGAACAAAATCAGATGATTCCTACTAGCTCTTTGAAGTATATAAAGTCTTTTTTTTTTTAATTCTGTCTTGGTATTTTCATGTAAAGGCTGTTCTTTATACTTTATATACTCTGATCTAAACTGTCTTTGCTTCCATCTAAAAATTCTCAATATTTCATAGTGCAACTGCCTCATCCAAAGGGATATTTAGATGTATAAGCACAGCTTCAAGCAAACTGGCTAAAAGATAGCCGTTCCTGGGCATTCACATTATAACTTCTGAGGAATCCTATCATATGTGTTTTCTTCTGACTCTATCCATTTAAATGTCCCTATATGGAGATAAGCATAGTTTTGAAAGTCAAACTAGCTAGTTAATCATTGAAGACTTTTAACATTAGTAATGAATGACAAAAATGAACCAAAACAAATACTAGCTATGTTTGACAGCAATTTATGTCTGGTTGGAAAATAAGACCCTCAATACTAAGGAACAAAGGTTTTATTCTAATTAATTGTAACAGCAAGAATAATAATAAGTAGAATTGTACCAAGTACTATTAATAGTAATACCTACCAGTTATCTAGCACTCATTTTATGTAAGACACTTAAAAGTTTTTCATGCACTATCTCATCTAATTCTACTAATCCTACAGGGTAGGCATTTTTATTATAGTCATGATATAGATAAGGTAACTGAGGTTTAAGAGAAACTTGCCCAGATTTTCATATCAAGTGTGTGTAAATGCTGGGATTTGAATGTAGGTCTCTGATTTCAGATTCTGAGCTCTTATTCATTATGCTACCTTGATATTTACTGGATGCTTCACATATGGTATCCCATTTTATCTTCATAACTAGAGGCCTAGTGCATGAATTCATGCACCAGTGGGGTCCCTCGGCCTGGCCTGTGGGATCGGGCTGAAACTGGCTCTCCGACATCCCCAGAAAGGTCCCAGATTGCAAGAGGGCGCAGGCCAGGCTGAGGGACCCCACTGGTGCATGATTGGGGTAAGGGAGGGACATGGGAGGTTGGCCAACTGGGGAAGGACTGTGGGAGGGCTCCAGGGCATGTCCAGCCCATCTTGCTCAGTCCCGATCAGCCAGACTCTGGCAGCAAGCTAACCTACTAGTTGGAGCGCCTGCCCCCTGGTTGTCATGTCATGGCGACTGGTCGACCAGTTGCCCCTTGGTGGTCAGTGCACTTTATAGAAAGCGGTTGAGCAGCCTTAGCATATCATTAGCCTATTATGCTTTGATTGGTTGAATGGCCGACCGGACACTTAGCATATTAGGCTTTTATTATATAGGATAAGCATATAAAATAAGTATCATCAAGTCATCTTCCAAATAAAGAAACTGGGATTTAGAAAAATTAACTTGCTTAAGATTGCATGACTAGTAATTGGTGGAATTTGGACTGAACATACCTTTTCCACCATAAATTAATGATATCAAAAGACAAGGCAATCAACTGAAACATTTTATAAAAGCTTTATCTGGCAATCACATAATTAAACAATGATCATTAAAGTCAACACTTGTATGACTTAAATATTTAAACATAACAACACTGGATATTATACCTAGATTTATATAATGACTAGAAGGTAGTTTGCCTATATTAGAATCACAAATTTAGAGAAGCAAGAACTTGAGATATTTTCTAGGTGAGTGATTTCAAAACTTTTCTTAGTAATAGAATCTTCTCTGGTCAAAGTCATCAATAGACTTCCACTTCCAATTCTATGGTCATATCTCATTCTGACTGGACTTGATCTGTTAAGTCCGCTGCATGAGGTCCTTCTCCTTTTTTGTACTACTTCCTCCCCTTGACTTCTAAGATGCCACTCTAGATTCTCCTACTTTCCTGGCTCCTCTCCCCCAGGCACTTTGGCTGTTCCCTTTCATCATCCTCACAATAAATTCTGGAGTAACTCAGAGATGCAGAGACTTAAGCCCTTTCTCTATATTCAGCCTTCCCAGGTGTTCTCCTCCAGCCTCATGACTTTACTGATCGTTTCTACAGCGATGATTCCTCCATTTCTACCCTCAGACCAGTCCTTCAGACTTGCATATGGCCTGATATATATTCAGCTCTGCTTGGTAATCTAATAGTCTTCATTAATAGACTCTACTTCGAAAGCTAAAATGGTCAAAACAAACTTTTGATATGTCCATCCCCCTTTCAATCCCAGAAATATCAACTTGCTTTTTCCAGTTATTTAGGGCCAAACTTTGAAATTGTTCTTGTCTGTTCTCTCCTCTCTCCCTTTACATATTTCCAATCGTTGAGAAAAAAATGTTAATTCTATGTTCAAAATCCATTCCAAATTCAGCCACCTGTTACACTCCCAGGGAGCACTGGCAGAGGAGCCCGCGGGTTAGACCAGCCTCACCATCTGGCCCGAGCAGTCATCTCTTCCCTACATCATTGCAATAGCCTCCTTTGTTCTTCCTGCCTCTACCCTATAGTCTAATTGTTAGATTAATCCTGATAGAACTAATCAGATTCTACTATTACTATCATTACCCTACCAGAACCCTTCAATTCTTTCTCAAATGTGTGAGAAAAATATATCATTAAATATATATATATATTTTTTGCTTCAAGACACAATACTAGAGAACTTACATATTTCTAACTAATTTAAAAATACAGCTAGGTTAAAAAAATTCACATTTTGTCCTTAAAAGCCTACTTCACTCTAACAAATCTACAACAATTGTGGCTTATTTCTTGTATACATGCGGCAGTACAGAGTAAAGACTTGCACAGACTCCTGAGTCCACTACCTGCTAGCTGTGTAATCATGAACAAGTTCCTTAGCATCAATGATCTCATCCTTAATAGGAATAGGAACATGTTCCTCAAAATATTATCCTAAAAATCAAGTAAGACGAAGTCATGTTAAGTAGTCAGCACAGTACCTGTTGTTTTTTTTTCTATAGTGAGTAATGAAAAATAACCAAGGATAAATCATTTTAAAGTCTATTCCAAACAAGCTATTTCTATTTTCTAAACATTAGACGAGGATGCTTAAATGCCATTCAGAAATTCATTTCATTTTAACTGGTGAATATAGTGTGTTAAACTGGTATTTTTTAAAGATTATACTCAGGAACCTGTACTAACATTTGGCTGTTGTCCATTTTCTTCAGTTATCAAAATCACATTAAGACCAGATACTCAAAAGACTTCAGGGTTTAATAAAGTAGAATTCATTTAATACATTTCTATCGGGCAATTATTATGTCTGATTTAGACAACGGAGATGCAGCATAACAAAAAACAGAAAACAAACAAAAAACTCAAAAATACTATATTCTAACAAGTATATACATCCAAACTGTGAGAACACATTTTGTCTATCAAAGTGAAACAAAGAGATTATTGGCACATACTAAAAGCCACGAGCAAATACAAGAATAAAAGGGCAATAAACATTCCAGAGGCCTTAAGTATTGACCTTAGGGAGCTACCTTTCATTCAGGGGCCACCTACTGCAATGGCTTAACCTAATTAAGATTTAACTGAGGTCTACAATTTTAAGCTGCTCTTAAAATTTTGTATTTAACTGATGCATGCAGTTTGAATATGTAAAGCAATGAAATCCCTTTACAGCTTGAGCATGATGTTTATATTCTTTCTCCCTCTGATTTTTACTAATTCAGGTAAGGAGGATATTGGTAAATTGGTAATTTAATCCTAAATACATACATATTTAACTTGCTTTTATAACCACAGTGCATTTGCTGATCAGATGACTTGTCAAGAAAAAAATTTGCATGTCCTTTGATATT